AAATGTCCAAGATCATCGAAATCGGAGTTCGAAGCTAAGAGTTATAGTCGTTTTAGCGCTGAAAGGTTTGTGACCGTACGCTGGGCGAAAAACGATTGGACGCTCAGGGTCTGCGTCCGGTCAGCACCTGCGAGTCCAGTCAGTATTTTTAGCGTGTCCAGAAGCGACCGAACGCTGGGAGAGTCCAGTCAGTGATGACCGGACGCGTCCGGTCACTGAAAAACGTCTCTGAAACCTCTCTGTAAGTGACCGGACGCTACTTGCGCGTTCGGTCAGTACGCGCTTTGCCCAGTGAAGGGGTAACGGCTATTTTAGCCCTTGGGGCTATAAAAGGAGTGTGTGGCTGGCCTTGGGCTGGTTGCTGAGCACCATCACGTCTATGTGGCTTGTGTAGGAGTGCTTGGATGCCCTCTAACTCACGTGTGCTTGCAAGAGTGCGAATCAATTGCGAGTGAGTGTGATTCTAGTGCGCTGCATTATGAGATTGCATTGAGTGGCACTAGGTGATCAAGTTGCAAGCCGGTGGTGCTTGTTACTCTTGGAGGTTGCCACCTCCTAGACGGCTTCGTGGTGGTCTCCGTCGAAGCCCACAAGAAGCTTGTGCGGTGCTCCGGAGAAGAGCTTTGTGAGGGGCATTGTGCTCGCCCCGCAAGAGCAGCGAAGAGCAACTCTAGTTGAGCGTGTCATTAAGCTACCCTCACTTTCGGGGTAGGTTCTTGCGGTGCCCGACGTGCGGGCTTGGCGGGTGATGCCAATTAGCCGCCGAACCACCAAGTGAGCGGTCGACACAACGGGGACGTAGCGTATTGGCAAGCACGTGAACCTCAGGAGAAAATCACCGTGTCAACCATGTTCTTCCCATTAGTTTGCAATCCCCTTACACAAGCTTGTGATTACTTTTATATACATTATGCTTGTGTAGTTGCCCTTGTGATTAGTTAGCTTGTGTAGCTCACTAGTTACCTTCTTGCTTGTATAGCATAGAAGTAGCTCCCTTGCGTGGCTAATTTGGTTTGTGTAACCTTGTTAGTCACTTTGCTTAGTTTGTGTAGCTAAGTATTTATGCTCTCTAATTTGGCATTGGTTGCCTTGTTATTGAGCATTGCTAGTGAGCTTAGTTGGCTTTTGTGATTTTGCTTACTAGCATGTGTAGGAGCTCCCTCATTGCTTGAAATACTGGTGGCATAGGTTTGTGTGACCTTGCTTCTAGAATTGGTTAGGTGAGCTCTAGTTAGCCCGACGCCTTTGTTGCTTAATTAGGATCTTTGCAAGGTGCTAGAGAACATAGATAGAGGGGTGTAGTCTTGGCTAGACTGATAGTTTTAATTCCGCACTTATTTTGGTTAGCCGATGCGATTAAGTTTTAGAAATGACTATTCACCCCCCTCTAGTCGTCATCTCGACCCTTCAGGAGCATAATAGTGGCCCGACCGATGCCAACTATTACATCATTGCGTCCAGCGATTGTTAAAACATTTCCTTTGTTCTTTGTGAGAGTTTGAAAATATTTTGTCTCCCTGAATATAGAGTTAGTGGTACCACTGTCCACTAGGCACATTTTCTCATCCATCAAATCGACTCTCGATCTATACAAAATGGAGAATTTGAACATGTAATTCTCAACAAATATATATAGAATACATACAACACATATAGGTATCAATTGTGGATAATACAAATTATAATACCCAATGTGTTTTATCAAGTACGGACAACAACTAGCCTATTACAACATTCACAATCAAACATCATCCACAATAACAACATAAGGTATCAAGGTATTTCAAAGTGCAAGAGTCTAGTTAAAGTCTCCAAAGATGTCGCTAGAGGCAAACTCCACGATCATATTCTCCTCATCAGCAGTGTTCCCATCAGGTGGTGGCAGTGCCTTGGTGTTGCTTGCTCCTGCAGGAGTGGTGTATGATCACCCAGGGGCATCTTGCATAGGGATGTCAAGTCGGAAAGCTTGTTCCATGTTGACATTAGGTTGGGAGTTGAAGTGTGCTTCAAATTGTCCACCTTGATTGGAACGTCCTTGATTGGAGCGTCCTCGTCCCATGGAATTCAAGTACAATTCCACCAAGTGCTTAGGGGTGCGACATTTCTGAGTCGGGTGGTTGTAGCAGCCACACTTGTCACAAGTGCTAGACTTGTTAGGCTTCTTATTGTCTGACTTAGTAACATCCTTTCCCTTGTTAGCACCACGAGACTTACGTTATCTCTGTCTCTTGCGCTTGTTCTTCCCTTTGAAGTTTCTAGGATTGCTAGAGTTAGTAGCATTCCTTTTGCTGCTTGTTCTGAGTGTTAGCATGTACTTCTATCAAAGGCTTAGTGCCCATGGGACGCAGGTTGGAGTTCCAAAGTAGGAGCTCATTATGCATTTCTGCCTGAAGTAATGTCTTAATCAACTCAGAATAAACAGTTAAACCTCTTTGAAGGTATTGTTGTTGAAGGATCATCTGAGCGTGAAGCATGGTAGACAAGGTCTTCTCAATTTTCTCCGCATTAGTTGGCTCCTTTTCACAAAACTTCAGTTTGGCACTAAGTTTATGAACAGCATGGTTGAAGTCTCCCACATATTTAAAATCTTGTAAACGGAGATGGTTCCACTCATTTATAACCTCTGGCAGGATGACTGCCTTTTGTTGTTCATACCGTGTTTGAAGAGCAAGCCATAGAGCGTGTGGGTCTTCCTCCATCAGATACTCAGCTTTGAGATCTGGATGGATGCGGTTCCTTATAATGAATAAGGCATTGTACTTGAGAGGCGCCGCTAATGGGGCTACACCCACTTGAGGAGGGGCAATTGCCTCGTACATTTCACGCAATGATAGACTCACTTTGAGATCCATTGCCCATGTGGGGAAGTTGTGGCCATCAAGAGCGAGAGCCTCAAACTCTTTGGTGGTCATTGTGCCTACATATGTAGGGCCATAAATTTGTTAAAAATCGTTGGCAATGTTGAATAAGCAATGCGAAATGTAATTAATCAAGGTAAACTTGAAATAGAGGGACATTCTCCTTTTGTGGAATAACATAGTCAAGCACCGATGGTGTTAACTTTGTTTAAATCATTTTTCATCATTGGGTACGCACTTGGAGGATGAAATCCCATAGTAGCACTATGGTGCTACCTTGTGTATGGCCAATGTGAAAAAGAATTATATGGTAATCACTTAGGTGTAGACCTTATATAATTTTTGATCAAATTGGGTACGCACGTTGAGGATGAAAATCCCGCAGTAGTACTATGGTGCTACCTTGTGTATGGCCAATTTAAAAATAAATAAAGGTAGTCACCCAAAAGTGTAGACCAAATTGTTTCAAAACTTGATATTGGATATGCACGTTGAGGAATAAATCTTGCAGTAGTACTAGGGTGCTACCTTGTGTATGGCCAATCCCAAAGTTCAGAAACTTAGTGTTATTCCAAAAATGAGAGAAAATCAACGTTAAAGCATTTGCATGAAATATTAAGTGCTTGTATGAAAAGCTAGAAAACTTAATATGTAAATTGCATAAAGTAAATTGTAATAAATTTTGTGGAATATATTGTTATTGTGAATGCCGGAGGCAACGCTTTGAACAATATACTCAACACAAAATGTTCATGTTATTGGGAATTGCATGGGCAAATACTTTGAACATGAACAGAGATATATAATACATTGCATTAGATAGAAATACATATGTACAATACATGGTTACATCAGGGGTCTAAAATAATAAAATAATTTAGACTAACACACTGATGAAAAGTACTACAAAATTAGTAATTAACACTATAGTTAATAAGCTAAATACAGTAGTAAACATTGACTAAAAATTAAAAACAAAGAAACATCAGATAGCAGATGCAGGCCCATCCAGAGCATGTGTGCTGAACGAGTGTGCCAGCAAAGGCAGCATGCAAGCCGGCCTGCTGGTGTCTCCAACTAGAAAGCAAGCGGTGAACTGCTGTACAAAGATAAGCAAGCACGCAGTGTTAGAGTGTCTCCAGCATCCAAACTCAAAATGAGTAGTAAGAGATCTAAAATCAGCCTCCAATAAAGTATCTATACGGGAGACCTATTTTAGGTTGCTTAAGAGGCACAACCTAAATATGGACATCCTCTCTCCTAAAAATCCATTTGCAGAAATGATTTTTTTTTTGTCTTTTTATTGAAGAAGATGCCGAATAGGTATTAAACATTTTACCTGTAGCACTATTAAAAAAATAAATATATCTTATATTTTAAGTGTTGTCGTTGGAAATAGCCTCACACGCTCGCATCCAACGTCGTCGCTCCCTGTAGAAAACTCCACCGCCGTCGCATGTACAACATGCGCAGGTGCCGATCTCCTCTGTCCCAGCCTAGATCCGGCGCTAGGGGACGCAGATCTAATGGTCCGCCACCCTGGTCACCATGGAGGAGGCCGCCATAGTCGCCGATTCTCATCGTTTCCGGCGGAGTCAGGGGCTCGGGCGAGGCCCCTTCCCCATGGTGCACTCAAGTCTGTGAGGGGGAGCGGCCCCCACCCTCGTCTGAGGAGGAGGATCCCGCGCCGCCGCGCTCGCGGCTGGGCCCGGCGTGGCCGTTCGGGAGGGATCGAGCGGAGGCCCCATGCGGAACTCGGAGCCAAGTCGGACGGAGGCCGGGACGACGGTTGGCGGCGTCACCGGCGTGCACTCGGCGTCGGAGCACGACTGAGGCGGAGGAGGCGGGGCGGCAAGCTCCGGGACGTCGACGGCGCGGCTACTCGAGGCTTCGCCATGCGCGTGCGGGGGCAGGCGCGTCGGGGCGGAGCGGCGTGGCACTATCGTAGGTGGAGAGCGGCTCCGTCTCCTCCTCAAGCCCACCACGGTGAGGGACGGAGTCGGCTGTGGAGGCGCTGGCTCAACGTCCATCGCCACGGGGCCGGCCCAATTAGAAGGACCGGCGGCATCCGGGGCTAGCGGGGCAGGAGGCCCTTGAAGCGGGCAGGGCCGGGGCCGTGCTCGACGCAGTACAGCGGCAACCATGGCGGACATGGTCCTGGTGCGTGCTCGGGGCAGATGGGTCCCGGCGGTGGCGCAGGGGCCACTGGAGCATCGACGGCGCGACGACGACCACCACCACGACCGCCAACTCGCATCCGAAGTCCGCGACCCCTTCCCCTTCCCCGGCGTTCACCGAAAAGGTGGCAGAAGTGTCCAGGAGTTCGGCGCGGATGCAGTGGTGGTTGAACGGAACCCCGATGTCGATGGCGTGGTGGAGAATCAAGAAGAGGTGATCGACGACGAGAATCGCTGGAGGTACGTAGCGCAGTGGAGGCATGGTACCTTTGGATCTCGCCGGCCTTCTTCAGGATTCCCTCTCGAGAGCACAGATTGCGAGTGTCAGGTGCTGATAACGTGTTTTGCGTGTAATGTAAATGGACACAGTGAATGGTAAAGAGAACCAGAGAGATTTCATTGATCTTTGATGTACATATATATACATGTCGTACGGACTCCATGGAGGCGTGCACGCAGGCAACCGCTCCATGGAACCGACGGTTCACAAGATAGAGAGAGAAGGGAGCGTGAGCAGTTTCCGCTCTGGGAGCGTGAGCAGTTTCCGCTCAATCCCTTTGCAGTTGTAACAGTTCCTTCGTCCGCCCCGCGGTCCATCTCATCATCCGCGCAGCGTCCACGACGGCACTTGCCATTCGGAAAGCGCAGCTAGCCCATCACGTTTTGCCTCCGCCGCAGCCTGGTCGCGGGTTCGGCTGCTATTGAAGATTGAACACCACGGTGCTTTGCTAACCGTGGGCCGCCGCCGCGATCACACGAAAGGCCAGCCTCTCTAGCTATGAGGCGGAAGTAAGCCTGGTAACGTGTCCAAACCCACTGTAAAACACAGAGCCTTGGGTCTTTTTCCGGAGTGGGCTGGAATTCAAGATGGCTAGTGAACCTACTAATTTTGCATCTGGTTTGGGCCAAAATCGTTGGAAAAAACAAAACCGTTTGTGGAGGCCGAGAAATGAAAACGACGCCTCGTCCCGCTCCCCCGACTCGGCAGGCCGCGGGGGCTGGTCGTCACCGGGGAAAAAAACTGGGTGGTCTCCTGCACCGGCTCCTCCGTGCAGGCCCAGCGCGGATGAAAGCCACGCGTGGAGTCCATTACACGGCCAGGCCTGGTGCGGCTCCTCGGCTGCTACTTTTGCTCAGCACATCGGCTCATGTGCAAGCAGGAACAGTCAAACACACAAGCTTGATTGTCTCTTGGTTCAGCAATAGTTTCTTGTAGCTTGTTCTCCTAGGCTATAAATATTCTAAACTATCTTTTATGAGTTGTTCTTTTAATTGTACTATACTAGTTGATTTTTTACCAGATTTTTGTCTACCGTGACTCGTCCGAATCAAAAGTTTGCCCGGAACGCCAAGTAGCCTGTTCGCTTGCTCGTAAACGATCGTAAATTTCCAGCCGGGAACAGTGTTTTTCTCTCATACCAAACCAGTCAGCAGTAAATAATCCACGATACGATACGGCCTCCCGAACAGGCTGAAGAGCTCCTTGTCCAGTGTCCCCCACTGAAGCAGTGACGGAGCCTGATGATTTGCATCGATCAATCGCCGGGATACGCCGGATCTTCTTTCGGTGGTCCTTGAATTTGGGTGTAGAAATGGACTTGACCCTGCCGAGTACTGTAGACAGCTGCAACCATGGAAGTGGCATACTCGACTTGCTTGTACCGTTTTACGTACCACTCCTACCTATCGTCTTGGAATCATCCATGCACACTGTCGCTTCTTCTGTTGCTTGATTATTTTGTTGCTCAGGCAATAGTTAAATTTATCGTTTCATAAAAAAAAGGTTAAATTTATCATCATTTGAATATAAAAATATATGAATTGCTTTTTTGTGGGTTGCATGCTATTTTAATCGTGCTAGTTGGTTGCATAAGATTGTCGCTCAAAATCATCTAAAAATTCAGTCACCTAAAATTTAGAGTATTTTGTGCACTGTTCTGAATGGATTCAAGCTGATAGCTTGACGATGGAGTTGCACGAGTCTGAAACTGTCGTTCAATTATGAGATACTAAGATTCATATACTACACTCTTCTAAATCTGATTCTGCATTATATGTAACCCAACTTTAAGTTCTCTCCGGTCCCCATACAGACAGCTGTTGCAGGTGTTCTCCACAAACGACAAGGGGACAGACAGCCTAATCCTATCTGCCGTTCTATCCATCCCTACCATCAATCTACAGTAGAAAGCAAGATAGTAGTGATCCAACATCCAAAGGGGATGATGGTGCATTGGTGCCGCGATGCTAGCTAGTTGTAGCCTAGTAGCTAGTATTGATACTACTACTACTATGACAGCTAAAATGGCGTGGCTTTTAAGTCTGCGGCGTGCCTCACAGTCCCAGCGTTAGATCCAGGCAGCTGCCGCCGGCCGTGCTCAGCGACGACCCTACTTCACCGCTCCCGCTCCCGTCCGTATCCGAGGCAGCCGTGCTGCCACTGTGGGGGCCGACGTCGTACAGGACTCCCCTGAACACGTGCCCCGCGATGGTGACGGTGGTGTAGTACGCGACCTCCGGCTCGGGCCCTCCTACTCCTAGCCGCACGCGGCGGAGCACGGCGTCCATGCTCACTTCCCGCGCGAACCTCTCCAGCGCCGTCGTCGCGATCGGCTGATCAACTGCACGCACGCAGGCAGCAGAGCAAGAAGAGGTAAGCTAGAGCTGAACGAGCCAATAATGCGGCGAGGTGGAGGTGGAATACATGTACCGTACGTACCGGACGATGTGGTGGTGGGGGCGACGGCGACAGAGGGAAGCGCGGCCCGGCGTGGGCGCTTGGGGTTGGGCTCGACGTCGACGCCCTCGGTTGAGGCTGACGCCGCGAGCGTCGTCTGCGGGCGCTCGCTGCACTGGGACGCGGGGGCGTGAGAGGTCGTCTTCACGTGGCCGGAGCAGACGATGCCGCGGCTGCTGCAGCAGTGCGCGCAGTACGCCTTGGCCCGGTGCCGGCAATCCTGGCATCTGATGCCGGCGTTTTCCCCGCCAGCCCGCGTGCCACGCGACGGCGACGGCGATGACGCGGCTCCAACAAGCTCCTCCTCCTCCTGCCGTGGCTCGAAGCTCCCCTCCGCGGGGGTAGCGGAGAGGAAGGGTGCGGCGTCGAATGGGTGCATTGTCGGCACTCGGCAGCGGGAGCGGGAGGGACGGCTCGGCGAGTGTGGCACCACGCACTAGAATGGGGTTTATGGGAGGGACGAGAGGGAGTGGGAAGTGTAAGACGGAGTCGGTTTGAGGTGCTCGTGCGGTCGTGCCTAGGGTCAAGCAAGACTCAAGCGTGGTCCAGGGCTCCGGGGGGCGGGCATAGCCGCATAGCGGCATAGGGATAGGGTGAATTGTGACCCGAGCTGTGGATGCGACTTGTGAAGCCCGTTTGGTGAGGCTATGCAGGCTTCGACTCTACTACTATTTTAGATAAAGAAATATAAATATTTTGGCTCTACTACTAGGTACTAACAAATAATTGAATATGTACTGTGTATTTTCCAAACTGTCTAAACAGTAAATATTTTGGCTCTACTGCTAGGTACTAACATATATGTACTGTGTATTTGTATGTATGTAGCGCGCTGTGGCAAAAAATCGATGAAGCCTCCAATATCTTCACGGTCTTCTTCACTTTGCGGGTGTGTTTTAAGCATCTCCGAGAGTTTCCAAAATCCACTCTCAATCTTGATTTTTTAGCAAAAATTTTAAAAAATTGCTCTCCAACAATTCACAATCTTTCTACACTTGGGAAAACCAATCCTATAGTGCGGATATATACGTGCGCGTATCCATCGGTTAATATAGAGGTGGACGGATGTGCAAATGAATAAAAAATAGGATAGGATTTATGATGTAAATGTACTGGAGAGAATGAAAATATAAATGTGCATGTGGTATTAGAAATAGTATAAGATTCTTGATGTAAAGTTACATTCAACCAAGAAATACACTTTTATAATTTTTCTAATCACTTACATGACATCATCACATGAGACCCACATGCTGGTAAACATAAGACTAACACATGGGCTCCATACCTTGATGACATGTCATCGCATAATCAGTGTGCCACACAAAACGGATTAACTCAAGTTATGGTGATGATTTGGATCTTATAGTGACATGATTAGTAAGTTTAGTCTTTATTGGGGATCTGAATGCACATTTTGAAAGCCAATGACCTAGATGACATGTGGACCAAGTTTGAGGATTGCAGGTGTATTTTACATATGAAGAGCAGATGAATACTGAATCATGTATATTTCTATTCAAGGAGGATCTCTACGAAACATTTTTTTTTGCGGGGACTCGTAGAAGAACTTAGGAGTACTCCCATTGTCCCAAATTATTTATCGTTTTTTGTTTCCGTGCCGCAAGTTCCCATAATTAGTATCATTGGATAGATATTTGAATCTAGTTTTTAATAAATTTATTTAGAGATAGAAATGGTGTACGTATTTTCTATAAATCGAGTCAAAGTTATCGGCACGTAAATCGTGGCGATTAACATTTAGGGACGGAGGGAGTATTTTGTTAAAGTTGTTTCTCGGGAAGCAAAAACGATGTCTTTGGATTGGAGGGAATACGTTTTACATGGATGTACGTTGTGGTCACTTTATGCAAATTGACACACTCCTCCGGTTTTGTTCTTCAACCCACTTTACTGCAAGTTTCTGCATCCAAGGTTTTTTTTCCCCTTTGTGACACCACTGCATCCAAGTTGAGACATGGGATCCTCGCTCACACGTCCCGGCGTCCGTGATGTTTCATGTTTTGGCCAAATCATGCAGGTGCAGCCGTGCTCGTGCAGGTGCTTTGGGCTTCGCCTCAGCTGACCTCATGTGTGCTTCAGCAATCAGGCAATCAGCACATGCACGTCGCTCGACGCACGCCGCAGTGAGGATCGGACCCCTCAGCCGTGGTCCCGTGGAGGAGCAGTACTGCATTTTTGCCACTGCGCGCTCTAGGAAAAATCGCCATGCCTGGGATTGGGAAGCGGCAGCATGCACATCTGATGTCTACTGCGCGCTCTAGGAAAAATCGCCGTGGTCCCGTGGAGGAGCAGTACTGCATTTTTGCCACTGCATTTTTGCCACTCTGTTTTTTTTCGTCGGATGGGACCGGTGCCAATTGATGTTGATGACGCAGTTCCATCGTCCAGAGCGAAGAGCGTAGTACGGAGGAGTGCTCCGGTTGCAATTTTTTTGCAACCTCGACCTCGTGAGAATCAGGGGCGTCCTTTTTCTATCACATCAATTTTGCGGACATTGCAATTAAATGACGGCCCCGAATCTTTTGAGCAAAAGCGATGAGTGTATTTACCAAATAAGCAAAGTGCTACTATAGTTTTTTTTTCAATCTAAACAAGGCCCTCGTGAGAATCAGGGGCGTCCTTTGGCCCGTGCGGACATTGCAACCGACGGCCCCGAAATTCAAGCAAAAGCGATGAGTGTATAGCAAACTATAGTTTTTCAAACGGACGGCACTGGCACTCCACGGCACAGCACTATCAGGTACAGTGTTACTACTGTGCCATGCTGTGTAGTGCCACCGTATCTAGACTATGGCCCAGGCACGGCACTAAAGCCCTCGGATAGTGCCGTGCCGTATCACAGGGCACGACAGTCCAGCGGACTAATGCCGTACCTTGGCACTAAAACCACATCACCACTTCAACAGATCAGAATTAAAAGAACAGTTCAAAAACAAACTTGAAATCTGATGAATAAAAAACAAATCAGAATCAAAAGAACAGTTCAACAGGGCACGGCAGCACGACGGCCGAAGAGCTCCTCGGCATCCCCAGCGACATCGTCCTCGTCATCTTCGGTCATCTCGCAGAGGCGCAGCTCGTTGTTGATGGTCATGGAGAGACCTATGTCCTCCTGCTCGTCCGATATCTTGTCGTCGCCGGCCTCCGGTCCCTCAACGCCAACGCCTACCAAAACAAAGAACAACAAGAACACCTAGGGTTAATAGAAGATCATGAAGAAATCAAGAAGAAGAACAAAAACGAACAGATCTAGGGTTACGACTCACCTCTCTTGACGGAGCACCAGAGACAACGGCGACGACGACGTCGCGGAGACCCGACACCCTGGTACCTCAACGCATCAGAGCGGAGCCCCAATGATGCCGGACTCCGGCGACGTCGATGAGAGCGACGAGACAGAGACGAAGACGAACGGTGGTGGATCTCGACGAGAAAGCTACATCGACGGTCAGGGAGAAGTAAGAGTGGTGTAGAAGTGTCGTGTGCCGTGCAAAGAATCGCCGCCGCTTTAACCAAACCACCGGACGGCGGGAAGAAGAGAGGAGAGCGGCTAGGGTTTCATCGATGATGGAGAGGCGGAGAGCTCGATGCGGCTGGAATGGGGACAAGGGACGGAATGAGATAGGGTTTGGAAAGGCTCCGAGCCTGGAGCGGCGCCGCGGCGGCTGGCTTATAAAGCCATCCCACCCGACCCCTAGATCCAACGGTCAGCAGGCGGGGGGCTCCATCCAACAGCTCGAGGCCGTGTCGCCCCTATGCCGGCCGTTGAAGCGGGCCGTGCCGTCGTGCCGTGCCATCGTCTTCGGCATCGCGGGCCCGTGCACGAACGCGAACGCGCACGCAGCCGGCCGCCGCCGCCGCGTTTCATCGGGCCAAATCGTCGATCGCGTCGTGCCGTGTTGGCCCAGCGGGCTTGGCCCGTTTGGAAAACTTTATAGCAAACACCATAGTTTTGAGTGTATAGAAGCAAACACCATATCGAGTAATCCTCACAAGCAAAAGCGAACATTAAAGAGTGCCTTTCGGGAATTTAACCAGAGATCAATAAGGTTCTCCAGGTTTCGAACCTTCCTAGCACTGATTCCTTAACACGTCAGCCGATGCCCGCCAAGCGGAAATGATTTTTTTTCGAAAGACGGCAAAAGATTTTTACCGTATTTTTATTAAACGGAAAAAAGTAAAAACAGAAACAAACATAATTACAAGAGAAGAACGCCGACTCTACTCTCGCCTACACCTCTGGCCACAAGGCCTAGAAAACCTAACTCTGAACACCGCCTAGAAAACGCAATGTTGCAGAACCCTTTGCAGGATAATAACAAAAAGAACACCTTAAAACAAATTACTCGAACCAAGATACGACACAAGAAGACAAAAACCCAAGCGGAAATGACATGTTTGTTTCAGCGTTGGCGCCTTGGTCGTCGATTATACGCGAGTGGGGAGACACGGTAAGAATTCGGCCGATCCCACGGAGAATGCGCATCAGGTAAACGCTCTTCGACGCCGACGCTGGTTTTCACCGGCGAGACGGGAGAGGCGATGGAATCGGCGATCCTCGCGCCGCTGCTCCTGCATTAAACGCTGATGGTTAACAATTAATAGTACGTTCTGTCTACCACGAAGGGCGCTGAGACACGAAAGTATCATTGCTGGTTGCTGCTGCTGGCCTGCTTCAAGCTAGGACGCGACAGATATGGCGACTACGGCCTGCCCACTTTCCATGGCCCAAGGTTATGGTAGCGGCGCCAGTGGACTGGTCACGCCTCAGTCAGTGGCTCACCCTCTTCCCGAGCCTTTTTCTGGGTCAATGGCTCAATGCCACAAGCTGCCGGGGCAGGAACGATGCGGCTGCACACGCCAAATGACCTGACGGAGCAGCACAATGCAGAATGCACAAAGCAAAGGAGAAGCATACGTACACCTACGACGTACTAGCTCCTACGTACATGAGGTGAGTAGCCATCGCTATGCCAAGATTGACAGGATCCAACCGAATGCATGCCGCTCCATTCATACCCTACGGTCTACGGATTTGCCTACTCCCTGCCTAGTGGCAAATTCAGACAGCGCGGCAAGTAGGATGTTGAGGCAGTCAGGCAGACCTTGCTGTCTCCTGCGCCTGACTCCGCGACTACTGTACTACGGAGTACGACCCCAGGCTTGCAGGCTTGCAGCCCTGTAGCTCCAGGTCCAGCAGGCCTGTGGACGTACTGAGGCCTCCTTGTTTGCTCGGGCCTCGGGCAGTCAGGCAGAGAGGTAGTAGGGGCGTGTTTGTGAGGGTGGTCCAGCAGCTCGGCTGCACTCCTGGACTATTGCCTGCCTGTTTACTTGACGATAAGTTATGGCTAAAAG